ACATATAGTGAATCAGTTTCCCTTTCTATATATCACCCTGGATGAACAAGTTTTGTCACGTGACCACAAATGCAAACGCCGATTTAACATTTCAGCAATTACGGACCCGATTTCAGGTAATTATTTGAAGATATCTTTTTTTCTACTGCATCCACAAAATTATGACCTAGACCGTAGGACCCGGCGTTAATTGAGCTTTTATTTTATGTATGTAGTAATTGCGAGACTTAGGTGTTCTTTTAGAACACCTCGACACAAATTTTCTTTTTGCAAGGCAAACGCCGATAGGTTTTACCTTTTCTTATCTTTTTTGTTCACTGGAAACCCATGTAGAGGGAAAATAATAGAAGATATGTCTTTTTTCAAGTAATTTTCGTACCTAACTAATTTATAATTTCATTGGCAAGGTTATATTCGATATAAACCCATGTTTTCCACTTAATGTCGATTTTGCAAACGCCGTTTGATCATGTAAAATGTGCAAACGTCGGTTGGTCATTTGAAATATATGCAAACGCCCCTTGATGTCTTTTTTGAACGCTGAACTGTATCTGTCTCATTTCCAGAGTTCCTCATCATATGAAACAATTTCATTGCAAACTGATTCTAATAACTCCATTCTGGACACGACGCCTATTGTTTCCAGATTTATTGAATCTATCGGTAGCTCAACCGTTATGTCTTCTATTGGTTACAAATCTGTTACAACAACCAGATCTCAGATATGTCATCCAAATCCAGGTGTTATGAAACTGACTGCATGGTTGCTATCGACAGACAGTTTAGAGAAAAAGGTTTTTTCAAAACTTCTTACAGCCAGCTTGAGAACTGTTACTCAGAAAGAATACTCCAGTAAATTAAGACAATTTATGATATGGTGTCGTCAAAAGAATATTGATTCCTTCACAGCATCCTTAAATACTTGTGCTGAGTTTTTATCAGATCTGTACAATAAAGGTTTACAGTAGGTTACCGCTCTAGTTTTACCTCCAGTAGATAACACTCCTATTAGTCAACATCCGTGTGTTATCAGATTATTAAATGTATTCAATTTGAGAACTCCTGTAACAAAGTTGTTGCCTGAATGGGATTTGCCTAAAGTTCTTAGTGCGCTACAAACATATTTCCTTTTGAACCTTTGAGAAAAACATCAATTTAATTTTTAACATATAAAGTTGTTTTTCTTACAGCTATCACGACATTCAGGAGAGCCAGCTACCTTCAAGTGTTAACATTAGGAGGAGCTATTTCTGTGAAGACAGATGGGGAAACTTTTATCAGACAAGGTTTGGCTAAACAGGATAGACCTGATCATTCATCAGCAAAAATTTGTGTACCAGCTTTTTAGACCATCCAAGAAGAGCACTTGCTATCTATCTTAAAAGAACTGAATCCTTCGGACGTAAAGACGAAACAAGTTTATTTCTGACAATAAATGTACCTCATTCTAAAGCTTCTTCACAAACTTTGGCTTCATATACAGTATTCTTAAAGCTATTCAAGAGGCTTATGCAGATAAACATAAAAGTAAAACAGCACATTCTACAAGAGCTTTAGGTCCCAATTCTCAACGCTGCAGATTGGTCAAAAGAAAACACTTTCGTTAAATTTTATTTGAAACAAGTAACTCCAAGTGATCTCACTGTGTAGTTCAACGTCGCTGTATAGTTCAACCTAAGAAGACTGAATTTTTTTCTAAATTTTTAAATCAAAGTTTATTCCCGACGGATTTTGTGTGGAATTGATTTTTGAGAAGATTATACGGTTATATTTATACATGTATATATGGGATATACAGAAGTTTTATAAAAGTTTGTTATTGAAGAAGAAGAATGTTTTAAAATAAAAAAGAAGGAGAAAAGAGAGAAGTCTTTTGTTCAGAGAATTGTAATATTTGCAACTTGACTTAAATAACCACCGGTTTATAAGAATCTTACACCGACTGCCGGTACAGACCGGAATATTTGTCGAGTTTCCGCTAAACAGTTACCCGAGAGCTGGATATTCCCGTCTGTACCAACAGCCGATGTTTGATTCTTTTTCTTGCATATTACATGTCAAATATTTTCGGAACAGAAATTATGAAAACTGATATATATATTAGGCACTTTTTTCTTATAGTAGCGTATGAACATACAACTTCATTCATAAAGGAAAATGACGTCATCCTAAGAACGCGATTCATTCATAAAAGGCGGCCGTCAATGACGCCATTTAAAGCACGCGACTTGTCTTACATGAGGGTTTAAGGCAGAGTTTTCCAGCACCGGTGTAAACGGTAGATAATCCTGTCTGAGATGCAAGAAATATATATATTTAAAGACGTTTTCGGGAGTTTTCATATAGACATATAGGCAAAATTAAAACTGTTCAATAGAAAATTTTAAACTTGGCTTGTTGAACAGAAACATTTTAAGCGAAAAAAAAATTGGGGTCACCGTTCTCATTTTTGAGATATCTGCCCTTGAAATGGACTTTTTTGTTAAATTCAAGGGCAGATAATTTACAATGAATGGTAACAAAACAATTTTCTTCCTATTTTCATGAAGCTTATCTTCGTTTTAGTTGATATGCAAAATTTCAAGAACAAACTTAGAGTGGGTAGTTTTTATATCAACTTCTTCTTTTAACCTGTGCTTTTTTCTAAAAAAAATGGACTATTTTTAAGAATTTAAAGTACCTTTATTTTCATTGAAAAAAAATAACAGAAACGATGTAAGGAATTGCATGTTATTATGTATTGTACTCAAAAATAAAAAGAAAAACATAATCCAGAAGTAAAAACAAGAATTCATTTAAGTATGTTTAAGTTATCTGCCCTTGAAATGACCTCAAATAAGTAGAAAAGTCTGATTCAGGGGCAGATAACTCAACAACGAGAACGGTGACCACAATTGTCTTTTCGCTTAAAATGTTTCTGTTATCATATTCTAACAACATGCCAAGTTTAAAAAAAAATCTATTGAACAGTTTTAGTTTTGCCTATATGTCCATATGAAAACTCCCGAAAACCACGGATTTATATTACATGTAATATAAATCCGTGCGAAAACGTCCTAATATGTTCAACCGGCGTTTGCATATTTTACATGTTCAAACGACGTTTGCAAAGAATAACATGGGATTATGTCAAATATAACTTTGCTAATGGAATTATAAATGAGTTAGGGACGGGAATGGCATTTTAAAAGACATATCCTCTATTATTTTACCTCAACATGTATTTCCAGTGAAAAAATTGATTGGAAAAAGTAAAACCTATCGGCGTTTGCCTTGCGAAAAGAACATTTGTGCCGAAGTGTTCTAAAAACTACTAAAGTCTAGTAATGACTACTCATATCAAATAAAAGCTTAATTTACGCCGGGTCCTACGATCTATGTCTTATTTTTGTGCTCGCAGTGGAAAAAAAGATATCTGCAAATAATTACCTGAAATTGGGTCCGGCGTTTGCATTTGTGGTCACGTGACAAAACTTGTTCATCCAGGGTGTATATTTCTTGTCAGATTTGCATTAAAATGCAGTATTTGTTGGCGATTTCTAACGTCATGTTTCTGTTGTGAAAGTTAAAACCTACGAATAGTTTTAGCTCACGAACATCGCATCCGAAATAAGAAGGGTAACATATTTTTGAATCCCATCGGGCCTGGGTAATTTAATTATTTTCAAATAGACGTGATACATACTAATAGACAGGATTCAGACAACTACAAAATTATGTCAATTAAACATTAGCGAAGAACCACTGTTTTAGTCTTCTAGCTAGTGTCCCCGTTCCCCTACGACACGTTGCGGTATACAAGATACACGCTTGATTGAACAGCTATCTAATCAAATCACTTCATTGCTCTTTTTCTCTTAAAGAAATATAAAATACGACAGTGTATCATGGTAATTATATAATTATATAAATCTTTGTGTGTTAGAATTTATAAAGCGGATACTAAAATTTCACTTCAAATGATTTTGATTATTTCAAATAATGGTTTGCTAGTAAAATTGCCTTTTTGACACCAACTTTGTTTTCATTTTTCATTTTAATGATAACATTTAGCTATTGATCAGTAAGTAAATAAGACGCGCCTATAATATAACGCTAACATTTAGGGCGTCGTAACGATATGTTTACACATAAAGCAAATGACGTCACGTCGAAATATATGCACGGCCATGCAATATCGTATTTTACGGAACCGCAAAGGCGGCACGGGTATGTAATAAAGGCAGTTTTCATTGTCGAAAAATAGTTTAAAAAGTCTTGAATGGTATAGAAAAGAATCCATTTTGAGAATCTTTGAGAGAAGTAAAATGTCCAATTTGACGACCATGTTGGAAATGTCGTGTCATGAATCATATGGCCTCTTACTATATAAGGAAACAATGTTTTTGCAAACAAAAATTATGACATACTGCATCTTTATTCATACTTTTCGATGTCCTTGCATATATAGTGGGGCATATGTGTCTTTCTGACGCATTTCTAGCCATAAACCTATCATGTATGCAAGTACAAATAATTTTGTAAGAAAACAAAGCGTAATGAATTTGTGAGAATTAACAATAAAGAAAACAAATTTAATCTTGATCTGAAACCTTTCATGCTTCTGAACATGGGATTTGGTTTCTCAATAAAATATATGTTTATGTTCATGATTGTTGTGAAAAGATATCCTGTTATAAAGTATTCTCAAAAATATGCTACCCTTTGAAACAATAAATATTCGATGAAGTGACATGGGTAAGAAATACGTGTAAAAGGAAATACACAGTAGCATAGCATCCTAAAGGCTCCGACATTTTTCAAAAGCAGTGAAAAATATATTTTTGTCTACCTTTTTTTCTGATAATTCCTTCCGTCCTTCCACCTCTGGCAATCTAGAGCAACTAAAATAAATTTTGGACTGTATACTATCTAACCCAAAATAAATTGGCCCATACATCAGTTAAGATAAAGCTACGCCCCTTATGTAGAACATATATGTTTTGTTTTTATATTCACAGGGTAGAGACATTGGTAAAGTTGTTCGACACGCCCCTATTCTGGAAGTGGATGATAAAGATTTAAAGCAATATTTCATTTACCTTGATAATCTTCTGTCAGATACTGGACACTTGATTTCCGATAATAATGCAAAGTTAGCACGGAAAAGATTATCTGAAGTTTGTAAAACTTATTATGTATTCAGTAACATAGTTTAAATCAAGTTAGAAGTTACTATTATCAGTACACAGTTTATCTAGTTTTGTACATGAAATTGGATGTACCATTTTGTGACGTTTAATTTATGACGAAATGCATGTCATGCACTTTGTGATTGAAAGTTGTTTTATATTAGGAAAGTCTGATCATATTTCTCACTGCAAAAATGCTAATGTTATTTTAACTGGCAAAATACCGAAAAGCATGAACAAAATGTTACTACCGGACTTAAGTAATGTACTTCATACCCTTAAATGCTATTTTAATTATAGAACATAAAGCTTAATTTCAAAGTTATTATTCAAATGTTTAACTAAGACTTAGTCATAATAAATAAACTTATCCATTGATTAAAGCTTGCATCTTTTGAATGTTAATTTACTTAGAAAAGTTTGAAAGAAGATAACCACTATTATATTCAGCACATTTGCATAAAAAGTCCTAAACTTGAGTGTAAATTCGTTGTTGTTTTAAAATGTTAGATTATGATAGGCTACATTTGGGTGAAATCAAACTGTCAATTACAAAATGTTGATATTTAACTTCAGCTACAGAACGATACATTACTCATTGGTAAAGATGATGTGCGGAAAGTGCTTGATGATGTTGCAAAGATAGCACAAGACAAAATTAAGGCACAATGTGATGAATTCAATCGAGATGCAGAAAAAAGAAAATTAAACCTGATAGAAACAACTCAGAAATCTTTAGAAACATTGGAAAATAAAGAAAAAATAACATTAGCTGAACTTGGTAAGGTGTTAAAATCAAGCATTGATGAAATTGAGAAGCTTACAAAAGATTCTCTTCAAAAAATAAACACGGAAACTGATAAAGCAGTAAAAAAAATGAAAATCGAATCTGAAAGTGGTATAAGTTTGATACATAAAGCCACAGATGAAAGTGGATATAAGATTTTAAAGGAATCTAAGGCTGCCATGGATCAAGTCAAACAAACAGCTAGTGAAGAGTTGAAAAGCATTTCAGCAGCAAATAAACAGAAAGAGGAAGACGACTATGCAGCAGCAAAAAAGAGTGAGAATAAATATTTTTTTTACAAAGGTTCAAATATTACCAATTAATTTCCAGATGTTTTATTCATGTGATTTCCCAATGTAATTCATTATTGGATCTGGTCAATTGAGCCTCTTTTCTCCAAGTCAGAAATCAAATCAAATTGCATTCTATCTAGCCCCATTTTCTGTTTTCATTTTGCATGTCAAAAAAACAAATTCCATTTGTACCCAAATGTAAGACAAGTCATCCTTTTTACATATTTGAGACAATTTTTGAATATTATGTGTAATGGTGTCATCAACTGCATTCATACGTATACCAAAGGGGATGGATGGAGACATAAAAGAAAAAGCTGGTCGATTGGCCTGTCAGTTTTATGGTTTCTGAATGAGAACACTTAAATGAGATAATAGATTGTTCTGTTATTCATAAAATATTGGTCGAGTTTAAATTTTGCTGATTGAAGTTCATTACTTTTTGACATAGTTAAAGATACAGGAGGGGATATGAAAGCTCTAGTTTACTTTTAATGTAATATAGAAACAATAGTCTTTGAGCGTTTTCTTAAACTTAATGTGTTTTTCCTTCAAAATCGGTGGTGTGAAATAAAGAAGGTTATTATATTTTGTTGACTACAATTTGAATTCCATTGGACATGTTCAGAGCTGCAAAACTTTGCTTTATGAAACAGTTAGATAAGTGTTTTAATTTTATGCTTTAACTCTACAGTAAAATTTTTGTTAATTATTGTATAAAATATTTTTTGTGACAAAAAAATCACACACGCACGCACGCGCGCGCTCGCTCGCTCGCGCACACACAATACACACACACACACGCACGCACGCACGCACAGCAGCTTAAATTATTACACTTAATTATTATTATATTAAGCATATAAACTGAAATATTAAAACATACACCAAGAAACTACAAGAGACCAAGAGCTTAAGTAGTTGACATGTAGCATTGCCTAGTGTACTTCGTTTTTTACAAACATGGTCCATCTTTGACTAATTTAGTTAACATAGACTTATATCGAAAATATATGTCTTAGATATCTTCTCATCTCTTAAAATTCTAATATAAAAGTCTGGAAACAAAGTGATCCCTCGGAAGCATTAATCACGACAAAATTACAAGAGATTTGCTGACTCGGTTTGATTGAGTCTGTACATGAGGGATATAAGTCTCCATTGTGAATCTACTTTTCCCAAAGCTTAGCTATATTTCATGTTGCGTTGCTTTGTTGGCCTCTAAAATATATAAATCATGTCCTGGCTCTTTAAAACGTTCTTTGTCATAATTTTCATGTCCAGGTAGTAGATATTTTGCTTTTACATATAACATCACACAGAGTTCCTTTGCAAAAGGAATGTAAATCATGCCCTTGAGGTCAATGTTGGCAAATCACCGGGTTAGATTGAAAAAAGAGAACACGTTACAATCTTTTTGTGTAAACTACAATGCTTACAACTTGAATATATAGCATGTAGTATAGCCTAGTGGACCTCTTAAACATATATTTGAATCACACCCCTGTGTTTAAAGAATTACCAGTACTGAATCTCTTAGATTTTTTCATGTATACGGAAATAACATTTAAAAATCGACTACTTTGATAATACAATGTTGTACAGCTATAAAAGTTTTACTTAATTTTCGAATTGACAACAAATTCTTTCTTACTACATAATTATATATTTGTTTAACAACGAATTGTGTCAATCAAAACATGCATTACAAATTAAGTTACAAGCATTATGATGTGCTTCTTAATTTGAAAAATAATGAATGAAGAAGTGAAATAAATGAATGAATGAATGCAGAAAGGAATAAATGAGTGATAGGAGAAACGTAGGAACGCACAACAAATATATAAATAAATTAAAAATAAATTATAATGATCTTGATGTATTTGCATTTAAATTCATTTAAATTTATGTTTTCTTTTCCAGCTTTGCAGTCAGAACTCATTGTATTCTACAGAGAAAGCTGCAGTACGATTAACATCTGTCCTGGTTTAGATGAAGTTGATGCTTCTTTAAATGATATCTATATTCCGCCTTATCCTTTGTATTCAAAGGAAACAGACACACTGAAAAAAGTGGCCAAACAGTCTACAGAAAAGAAGGAAACACGAAAAGGTTTTCCGTTTGTAACGATGTTTCAGGAACAGGAGGAAACACCAGATGGAAAACCTGTGAATTCGCTACAAGAGATATTTTACAAACAATCAAAAGCTTGCAGTGATATATATTTGACAGCAGAACCTGGACTTGGTAAAACATCCTTTGTGAAGTGGCTGTCATTAAACTGGTGTCACGCACGTGACCCTGTTAAAGAAGATGACCACTATTTTGACCATGAAGAGGTAAGTCAATTGAAACAATTTGATTTTGTTTTTGTTATTTTTCTCAGGGAAGTGAATGATCAAAATATTAATGTAGATTCTATGATACGAAATACTATATTAACTGCTTTAGGTAGACAAAACGAATATACAATTGAGATGATAGAGAGAGTGATGTGTGAAGAAAGATGCCTGATTGTTTTAGATGGACTTGATGAATGGAATGTATCTGGTATACCTAAAAGACCAAAACGACCAAGTTGTACATACATCACAACATCAAGGCCGTGGAAATTTTGCACAATTTCCCTTAATTCAAAACAAATTGACCAGCATGTATGTATTGAAAATGTCCAGAAATTTTGCAAAGAAAAGTTCATTTCGAGCCTTATGACAATGTATGAGAAAAGAAAATGTTTGAGGGATGATATTTCAGACATCCCCAAAGCATGTGAAGAATTTATTAAAGTACTTGACGACAAAAAGGTTTTACATTTCTATGGGACACCAGTCATTTTAGCACAGTTAGTGTATTTATGGAATATGGAAAAAAGTATTGGAAACTCACAGTTTGAGATTTATAGTGATATGGCAGATGCTATATTTAGCAGAGCTCAGTATAAATGTGATCTTAGTAAATTAAAATACACAAGATCTTCACAAATAAATTACTTCCAAGAATCACTTTGTGAGACATACTATGATCTGATGATAAGACTTGGGAAATTGGCATTTAATATGTTATTTTCTGGGGAAAAAGGTTCATCACTAGTGTTTGATGAAGTTGTTACTGAAAAATGCCTCTCAGGAGAGGACAGCAATATTATAGCTGGTGAAATGTTAGGTACCTGTTTAAAGACGGGTTTGCTGTCAAAACAACCAGTTTATGTAAAATCAAGGAGAAAGAAATATACTTATTCATTTCAACATAAAACTATGCAAGAATACTTTGCCGCATTGTATATTCAGGCAGAGTATGACACAAATCTTGAGGTTATGATAGTTAAAAAATGTAATGAAGTTTCGAAAATTCTAGAGATGGGAACAGTTTTCATGTTCCTAAGCGGAGTCAATCCAAATATAGCAGGCAATGTATTTCAATCATTACAAGGTACAATAAATGAAGAAAAAACAATACAAGAGTATAGATGCAAGTTTTCGCTTCTTGGGGCTTTTGAAATTCAGGCAATTCAGAATATGAAAGTAAACTGTGCTTTAGAGGGTAGAAACAATGGAAGTGAAGAATTTCATCTACATTTAGAAGATGTCATCATTGTTCAGTCAATTCAAGACGATAAATACTTTGATGCATTGAAAATTCTTGTTCGACAGAATGCTTTGAACTTGAAATCCTTCATGCTTGAAGGCAAAGAAATAGCTGAACATGTATGGACATATTTTGGAATACAAGAAATGCCATCTCTGTGTACCTTAAATGTTGGTTTTAGTCTATTTATTCCATCTAATCCTGGTAGACTTTCTTTTGGAATAGTTGATCATGTTGCTGAGTCAATTTCAAAACAGCTTCAATCATTGTATATTTCATCTGATTTACCTGAAACAGATTGTTTGTTGGAGAAATTCCTTTATTTTGTCAAGCAGCAAACTCTTTTGAGACAAATGTTTTTGAAATTCTGTACAAATGATAATATTCCAAAGCTTTCATTATGTACAATGGATATGAATGCATATTTGCAGGAAGTTTCTCTAGAAAATGTACCTTTATCGCAGCTACAGCTGAGTGAACACTTACAGCAGCTAACACTAGCAAATGTACCTACATTATCAAACTTACAACTGAATGAACACTTACAACAGCTCAAGCTAAAAAATGTACATTTATCACAGCTACAGCTGAATGAACACTTACATGAGCTAACACTAGAAAATGTACCTGCATTATCACATATACAGCTGAATGAGCACTTGCAGACGTTATCAATGGAACATGTACCTACCTTATCACAGCTACAACTGAATGAACATTTACATAAGCTTAAACTGAAACAATTGCCTTTATCACAGCTCCAGCTAAATAAACACTTACATCACCTAACACTAGAAAACGTACCTTTAACAGAGCTAAAACTGAATGAATACTTACAGAAGGCAACACTAGAAAATGTACCTACCTTATTATCACAGCTACAATTGAATGCACACTTACAGCAGCTCAAGCTAAAAAATATACCTTTAACGCTGCTACAGCTGAATGAACACTTACATGAGCTAACCCTAGAAAATGTACCTTTATCGCAGCTACAACTGAATAGACACTTACAACAGCTTGAGCTGAAAAAAATACCTTTATTGCAGCTACAGCTTAATGAACACTTACATCAGCTTACAATTCAAAATGTACCTATATCACAGCAACAAATGTGTGAAGATGTAAATGGGAGAATCCTTTCTTATGTATCACCGGAAAATGTTGAAAACATTACCGGTAGTTTGAATTCATTTCCGAGAAATGTCGAAAGTATAGATATTACTGGTAGTTTAAATTCTCTAGAAAAATGTTCTTTGGAATGTTTACCTGGTGCCGCCTTTACAGCAGTACTCAACTGTCTTCATGTAGAGTCCAAACTGAGGACACTGTCATGTAAACGTCTTGTGTCTGCTCCTTTTGTGTTGTTTTCAACTCTTCCAAAACTCAGTCATTTACAAATGATCTCATTGTCATCAATGGATCTTTCTGAAAATCTCCTTGAACTTCCATGCTCTGATGGTTTTGACTTTTACCTTTGCGATGTTACTCTGACGAATATAGCATTATACAAATTATTAAGTTCCAAACATAATCATAATGTGAGAGTGGAATTCCAGGGTGTTGATGTGAAAGATAATACTCTTGAATATGAATTAGAGACATCAGAACAAGATGGTTCGAAAACAACAGAGTCATGTAGCTCAAGTAGTAACATAATCAAAATTGTATTTCTGTACGTAAAGATTAGCAATAAATCTTTTCTACGTTTTGTTAAATTAGTTGAGAAATATAATGGCAAAGTAAATTTAAGCATAGTACTTCTCAAATATGCAGAGATTGATGCAAATTACAGGGAGGGAATAGAGTATGCCAAATCTTTAAATTCTTTCATTGTTACTAAAGGTCGTTATATTGGAATGGTGGACACAGTTGAAATTATCAAAATTGTTTAGCGTGTTAATGAGGTTTGTTAGATTTGAGCAGACATAGGACAAATGTTGTTGTTTTTTAATCCATTACAAACATTGAGCACATAGTTTTGTAAATAGAAAAAAGATGGCTCCTTGGCAAAAGACATTTCATTCAGTGAAACATGCACATTATAGAATCTGTTGCAATTACATGTATCTTTTTAAACCTTCTTAGACGAGTAAGTTTTTGTTCATTATTTTAAAATCAGTTTAACAAAGTAAGAACTCATATAAGTATCATATTTTCAAGATGCAAAACGCAATGTTATAGATAACATGAATGTTTATAAAGAGAAAAATACCGTTATTTCTCCAATTAATGTCTTGGGCGGCTTAACACATAAAATCACTTCAAATGTATTCAATAATTGACACAGTCCACTTTTAATTGTCTAAAAAAACATTAACTGACCCATGATTAGGTTCATTTATCACGTGGCAGAAACAGGTCAAAGAAAGGTTTAAAATTGGTGGGGTATGGTTTCTTACATTTTGAGATAAAACAAGCATTTAGCTTGTAGGATTAGTACGCTGAATATGTAAATCAGTAGGAAAACATACTTTATGACTTTTATTACATATTATCAAGAGTTTTCTTGTACCTGCAAAGAGCCCTTCTGATGTTGGGGAAATGTTTTGAAGTCCAAAATCGTAGGATAAATGTTGTTTGAAGTTTGAATATAAGTATTCTTTAAGGCAAACGACTCAACTTTGTTTTAATTATTAAGGCATACAACTCGACTTTGTTTCAATTATTTGCCCATTAGGATAGTTGTACCTTTAGGATGTTAACTGTTTACAGATTTTTCACTGAAATAATGACATCATGGATATCATATTCGATAATGGTCTTCTCGTTTGTTCTTACAAGTTATACAATTTCACATTCTTTATCTTTAACACATTTCACTGATTTTTGTCAAATCACGGCTGTTGTAACAGCGACAGAAAAAGAGACCATTTAAGATAAATTATAACAAGAAATGTCTTTGAAAAGATATTCAGCCGTCAAGAATTTGGTTTAACCGTTGCTTTGAAGTTAATACGAATTCCAGTGGTATAAAGAAATTGGTAGCCGTAGTGAGTATCAAGTAGAACCATGTAAAGATATTATAAGGATATATTGAGGATCAAAGAAACATGAAAAATATAAGAAGTTTTCCATTTTTAGCTCCGATTGAAGAAAACAATACATGCAAGTTTGTTACGAAAAATCATAGAAGTAATTCCTCACTGTAGTTTTAGAGCAAATGCTCACTATTGAGGGACAAAAATCATCATCTACCTTTAGTTATCTTTAAAGCATATCTTTACCAATAGTTGCATCTGAAAATTGTACTGCTGACTATGATGAGTGTGTCATATTGAAATGGTTAGCGTTCGTGTAATATTGCACTGAAACATAGTGCAGATGTGTTAGTCTGAAAAGTTGCATTGATGAATAAGTCTGACTTTTGACTGTGTCTGAAATATTGTAGTTATGAGTGTGTTTGCAAAATGTGTACTAATGATTGCAAGCGCATGGAATACTGTACTGCCGACTTTTGCAAGACAAACGTTCGTACATCTGAAATATTGTATTGAAAAGTGAGTCTGAAATATTGTACTGATGAGTGAGTCTGAAATATTTTACGGGTGAGTGTGTGAAATATTGGACGGCTGAAGATATCTGAAAAATTGCACTGCTGAGTGTGTCTGAAAAAGTAAACATTATTTCATTTTATCTTATTTGTTTATGAAATATTTATAATATATCAATGATATAAGTCATATCACACTGTTATTCAATAATAGTATTTCTTGTAATAACAGTGTTGTATATATCTATGGTTATTATAATTATTTCCCTTAAGTGCATTATACTTTTGTCACTTGTTAGTGTTCAATTGAATTAGCATTCACCTTTATAGAAATTTTGGTTTATGATTATATTTTTTGATATATTTCCATTCTTATCTTCTTAATTGCAACTTATGAATTAGACAGGTGTTTGGCAGAATTAGGTTTCACTCTGTTTACAATTTAAATTAACAATATCATTGTCACAACAAAAAGGGCATATACTTTCATTTATACGCAAGCACTCCTTGTTTTTAGAGATTTGTGTTTTAGATTTATATAGTTTATTTGTTACTCATTACTGTTAACATCAATATGTAATGATAATTCAAACTGCCTGATTTTTTTTCACTATTTATCAAATCAATTCACTATTCTTTTTAAGTTATAACCATGCTTTATACGAAAATCAGTATTTTTCCACCTTTTTCTAAAATAATAAGAAATAAACTAATTAAAATTATTCTTTCAAAATAATTATGATAATTTATAGAAGGTAGTTTACTAAGATGTGGATACTGTTTAGTCATGTGAAAACATAAGTGTATATATATATATTGCTTGCAAGGTAACATATGATAGTTCACTAGTTTACTATTAAGATAATTTACTAAATTACTATTGATATAGTTCACTACATTATCATTGTGTTAGTGCACTGCATTACTATTGTGATAGTTCAGTATATTACTATTGCGATAGTTCAGTACATTACTATTGTGAAAGTTAACTACCTTAATATTGTGATAGTTCACTACATTACTATTGTGATAGTTCAGTACATAACTATTGTGATAGTTCACTACATTACTATTGTGATAGTTCAGTACATTATTATATTGATAGTTCACTGCATTACTATTGTGAAAGTTCACTACATAACTATTGTGATAGTTCACTACATTACTATTGTAATAGTTCGGTACATTACTACTGTGATAGTTCACTGTATTACTGTGGTGAAAGGTCAGTACATTACTTTTGAGATAGTTCATTACATAAATATTGTGATAGTTCACAGGTCAGTACATTACTTTTGAGATAGTTCATTACATAACTATTGTGATAGTTCACTACATTATTATTGTGATAGTTCAGTACATTACTATTGTGATAGTTCAGTACATTACTATTGTGATAGTTCAGTACATTACTATTGTGATAGTTCAGTACATTACCATTGTGATAGTTCACTACATTAGTATTGTGTTAGTTCACTACCTTAATATTGTGATAGTTTTCTTCATTACTATTGTGATAGTTCATTACATAACTATTGTGATAGTTTACTGCATTTCCATTGTGATAGTTCAATATATTACTATTGTAATAGGTTATTACATGACTATTGTTGTATATGTCAGTCTTTACTACATTAAGTTAGTATGCCAATCATTTAGAGGATATTAAAGTTGTTTTTTTTCTATAAATACAGGATTTATTTTCATCGAGTGGTATGAAAAAAATAATTCTCGAGTGGCAATAGCCACAAGGGAAATATGATAATTTTCATATCAAGTTTTTTCACACGCCTCTATCCAAACGATACATTCGAGGGTGCGAGAGGCGGATGTGCGCCCTTCAGTGTGGGGGTTTGAAGGGGGACGGCAGTCCCCTACCGCCAAGAAAATTTTGGACTTGCGAGAGGCTAAAAATGACCCCATGTCGATCATAAGGTAACGTGTAACCAACGCTGAAAAGCCTTTGACTCTATCTCAATCCATTGAGAAGTTTCAGCACTTTGAAATCAATTTCGATGAGACAAATCAACGCAAAATATATAGTAATGTCTGGCAATTTTGTTGCAATGGTTACAGAAAATTTAAGACTGAGGTTTTATTGTTTTATAGTAAATTTGAACGTGTAACGGGAGACTTTTCAATGAAAACAGCCATTTTTCACAAAATGCTCATGTGGTAATGGGTTAAGGAAGAATTTTCTTTTAATTTCGTGTATTGGATGAATTGAGAAGAAAGTAGTCCTGTAAGACACCAGTGAAAATACGGAAAATATGTTTCACTGCAGTGAAAAATAAATGTCTACAGTGAAAATACTGAAATAAAAAATATGCATTTTATTTCCCTAATAAGTATATAAAAAAATTGTGTTTTATATTTATGTCATGTTTAATATAGAACATTAGACGGACCATATTATACTGTTTCTCTATAGATATCCCTGTTTTGACCAATATATGTACATATTCTGAATATTTACTAGGTATGTACACTTTTTATTATGGCTTTGTAAAATATCCTGATTTAGTTTTAGGTAAACTGTTTGTTGTCGAGAAAAGAACTGCATGTTTTTGTACCTCATATGCAATCTGGAAAGACATAACTTTTTTGTTTATTTGGTTTTGTGCTTATCAAAAGATATGTTAGGTAAATATTATCTTTTATATTTAATATATCAGGAGATTGTTACTGTATAGTTTATATTTGTTTTTACTTATTATTTCACCAAAATATTGTTCTATTTCTGATCAAAATTTCTTGTATTTGAATTGTTTCTAGTAGTGTCATATTGCATTTGTGTATTTGTTAAAGTACTTGTAGAATAATGTACATACATTTGTTATGCATGTTACTATATTAATTGATCATTGTATAGTTTTTCTGTTATATAATTATGTTATGTCAGTTTTCTTGTAATATAGACTGTAGCAACAAAATTTTATGAATATAAATTTTTGTAAAATTAATCAAATTATGTTGAAGAAAGTCATTTGGTACAATGTGAAGAATAAAAATTTTGTATAAGATGTTCGTTTAAAAATATAAATCACCCATTCAAGAAATGGGATATGTTGATTTACTTGTCGTCCATCTGAACAACTAGCCATCTATGGACACAGCATTGTGTGCCTTTTTTCTCTCCGAAACTGCTCAACCAAAATTTGATAACAATTGGATAAATCTAAAGAAGTTTTACATGTGAATATTGTAAGGAATTCAAGCAAGACTTTATAAATGATATTGACCTTCATGGTAAAATCCTTGAATCCTGCTTATTTTTTTTTCAATAACTTTATTTATAATTGATGTATGTCATTCATTCTTGTTCATAAGAACCCTTTAAGCAGATTAATAAACTGAACATGAAACAAATCAGAAAGTTAGCAATTGATGTAAGATTTTTATGTAGGCTAGGATTATTCTTTACCTCTAAACTTTTTTTTTTAAATGGCTGAATATAATGCAATTAAAGCTTTATTTCAGTAATTAAGGATCTTTATTATCATCATTAGAACATTTAATGCCTATGTCAGAAACTGTATTTTTCAAAATTTCTGATGTAAAGATTGATAGCATCCATTTTATTGTATGGGTTAGAAATTATGGTACTTGATTATATCTATGAAATAGAAAAAGTTTATTTATATGCATGTAAAAAATTCATGCAAGCACCCTTTAGGTCATTTAATGTAGCTTTCATTGGTCTTTTGAAAGATCACCAATGTTAGTTTTAACTATTAAACGTAATAATTCCTAGTGAAAAATGTAAGATTGTAGATATGTCAAAAAATGTTATAAAATGTTGTTATATTATGATCGTATAGAATATCAAAATTGGACTTGAAAGGCTTAGTTAAATTTACATAAAATTTTGTTTTGGAAATGCTTGTGAAAATTAATATCTTACCAAGAAAAAACTATTTATAAACAGCTACACAATAATAAAAGTCCAATACTTACAGGTTTGGACAGTAGACTGTGATACAAAGTTATTATCTTATGTTAATTTTAAATCTGTCTTTTGGTATGAACGTTATCTTGATATAAGTGATATTTAAATGAGGTTTAGATATGCTTTAGTTTCTATAAGATTATAATCACATCCTCTTATGATCGATAAAGGTAGACATACTTGAATGTGTAGACCGTGATTTAAGATTCTGTTTTTCTTGTGTTGATCAAATAGAAAATGAATATCATTTTATTTTAATTGATCCACTGTGCCAATGCATAATGGATCCACATATATTATGACAATCCGACATTGAATAAATGTAATGTGTTGTTGTCTTTGAGAAATGATTAAACTATAAAAGGACTTGCTATATGTTCATATATTATGCTCTTAAACACAGTTCAACTTTTATGTCATAGATATCTAAACTTGATACTTCTTATTTAAGTTTTATGCTATATTTGTTTTTGTATGACTAATATCCTTGCTTCTATGTAAACTTTTAAATTTGCATATAATGTAAAATGTTAAGGGGAAATTAATTCTATATATTTTGATCATGAGTGTATTGATGTATGTATATATGTTTTTTATGTATATTGTTGGTGTATGGGCTGGTGGCCTAAACATCCTATTAAAGTATTGAATTGAATTGAGGTCAATTCACATTCTAAAATAGTTGGTATGTAGCATTATCAAGTGGACCTTGTTGTCTAAATTAGCTTTATTCCGGGGGTCATTTAGGTTATTTGATAAGCTCTATTTATATTCTTTTGCCGGATTCATGAAACTTTAGATAGATCAATTAACATTCAAGAAGGAGATGCTCTTTGAACAAATAAGATTTTAATAAGAACTAAAGGTCACCCAAGACAGACAGCAAAATTAATCAAAAGTGTTGCAGACTTGTTTGAATTCGTAAGTATGGATTTGATATTCACTGAAATTGAAAACTATTAGCTTGACTATTCAAAGTACTCAAGGTCAATACTTGAATAACTTCATTTATCATCAAATACAGCTTAACACTTGTGAGATCATAATGTCTGGTCTCTATCCTTGATTTATGGCCTTTTTGAACTTTTGAAAAATCCTTGTAAAAATTTGTATGCAACCTACTGAATTATTCACTTAAGAAATAAAGCAAAACCTGCTTCTTATTTCTTACGTGAGGTTTCTGAACCCTTAGTGATGTTTTACACTTACAAATGTCTTTGTTACTATGATCATATTGCAGGTCACTAATCAAGACTTAAAACCAAGTAATGATATTGAAATGAAATATTTCGGTTAATTTCAACATTATCAGGGCTCTTTTTATCCTTTGTGCACTGTTCTACTGACCTGACGGCTTTTTTCATTTTAGGCTATATATATTTATTTACATGTTGTTTATGTGTCTGTTAATGAAAAGTGTTGGTGAATTAAATAATATGCGCACTAATATTAATCAATGGTCTTGCAACTGATAAATGTGGTGTAGCAATATCTATGATAATTGTTTTGTGATATTTACTTCACTAAAACAATATGATTATGTTCTAATTCATAAATAAATCTAGTTAATACAATTTGTATTTTGTCATTTATACACTGGTGAAATCAAATATGTTAGTTTTTTCAAGCATGTAAGTTGATTGCATCAACACATCTATAGGTATGTCATTTAGCCTATGTGTCCCTTAAAACACAATTTGCAATTTGAGCAAGTAAGAAGTGTACTTAAGAAATCTCAAAATAAAAGTCGCTAAAATCGGAGTTTAAAAAACAGAAGAAAAAAAGATATTATTTTAAAAAGCTCACATCCTATCATGGAAAAATGCCACAATAATTTGTTCTTCAGCCAAGATCCTTGGCAGAAACAGTTTTTGCTACAAAATAGCCTGCGACACATAGGTATCACTAAAATGCCGTTGTGTGTTCGTCCATTCGTCTGACACAAACCTTTCCAGACTACTTCTAAAAAACTACTGGTATAATATCTTCCAAACATTACATGAATGAACGGTATCAAGTTTAGTTGTGCGGCAATTTCCAGTTAAAAGATTTATGTCAGAGTTATGGCCCTTAAATGATTTTATTTCTGACGTTTGTTTTGACAATTTTCCTTACACAATTAATGCAATTAAAAAGAAATTGTACATGATTTATCAGCAGCCCTAGTACTTGCGCATATTATACAGGTTTTCCTGTTGAATATATTAGGGTTGAAAAAGTGTTGTGTGGCAGCTGTAAAAAGTTGCCATGTACTTCACTTCAGTGTTGTTATATTTTTCTGGTCCTTCGGGATCATTGATGCCAGCACTATTAAGTGTTGAAAATTGAGTACCGCTCAAGCCGATGCTAGGGTGCGTGTGGGATGTTGCACTTATTCCTTATCCCTCATGTATAGACTCAATCAAACTGAGTCTGCAATTTTCAAGTAATTTTGTTGTGATTAATAATTCCGAGGGATCATTTTGTTTCAAATTTTTTATACTTCACAACAGCAGGTGTCAAGTGATATGTGGCAGCTGTAAAAAGTTGCCCTGTACTTCACTTCAGTGTTGTTATATTTTTCTGGTCGTCCGGGTTTCATTGATGGCAGCACTATTAAGTGTTGAGAATTGAGTAACACTCAAGCAGATGCTAAGGGGCGGGAGGGATGTTGCACTTATTCATTATCCCTCGTGAACAGACTCAATCCCACCGAGTCTGCAATTTTCAAGTAATTTTGTTGTGATTAATGCTTCCGAGGGATCACTTTTCCAGATTTTTGAAATATGGCCATTGAATAGAAAATGAGTTTTGACCTGTTTATGACATCAAGCGATACATGTGACCACTGATCATTCTTGTGCGGAAATTATACTGTGCCTATTGTTCCGAGGACTGTTGTAACTTAAGAAACACTTTAATTACAGAAGTAATAGCTTGCTTCAAATGATGGCAGAAACAGTCACTACATGAAATATTCGAGAATTTTAGTGAAGTAAACTTAACGTACTCTTAGCATATTTATGAAATTACTTGTATTATACAGTGTTCGTTCTTTAATTCATATGTACTAGTTTGTTAAAGGGTACATATATTATCGTATATTATTTTTTCAAGGCCAAGTCTTAGAATACTGACCAGTGCCCAACCTATTTATATCATATAGTGATTCACAACATCTCTATCACAGATTAACTTTACATATATAAAGTCACAGATTATACTATATCATAAGTACAATGTATATAGGAAAATAATTGATATATTGGAAAAAGTACTTTTCTATATATTCCAACACATAAAATATATATATATATATAAGAAACAAGTAAACAAAATTTAGATTGTCATGCATTAAAGGAACATGACAAAGTTATTTTACAAGTGTCTACTTGTGATTCAATGCTGGTAAACTTTTGTTTACTGAGAAATCCATTTAGCACATCTTTCACTATCATCGTTACCTTAATAATTAGAAACCGCTAGTGAGAATTGAGCCCATATAATATGTAATCTTCGACCGCCCCCGTTGTCGAGAGGTTAGAGTCGATGACTTCTAATCCAGTTACCTTTAATTCGAGACATTTTGATACTTGCATCACTAAGTGATGGTATATGCCATTATCAGTTAACGTTTTCTTATTGCTGAAAATACTGTATAACTTAGTGATATATGTTTTATATGATATTGACTTTGACCATTTGACTGTATTGTATGCTTATTTGTTATACGTACTGTGTAGGCATGGACATTTTGACCGAATGTACTTTGTTTATGAAAAAACTTGAATAATTAACTACTCTAAAGCAATTTAGTTTATTTCAAATTATAGAAACGAGGTCTAGTCTATGTTGGCCATTCCCCGTGGGTCATAGATTTTCCTTAATGTTCATGAAAATTTCCATACGAACATTGATTTTTTACTGAGCAACCCTAAACTTCATAGCAACCAGTGACAACCATAGCAACCATTTACTTTCGATAGCAACCACTGACTTCCAAAGCGACCATGAACTTTTCATAGCAACAAATGACTTCCATAGCAGCCATTGGCAATTAATAGCAACTACTGATATCTGGAGCAACTTTTGACTTTCCTTAGAAACTAGTGACTACAATAGCAACAATTGACTTTTAACCTTTTGAACTTTCTCCAGGACATAACTCTGAAACTACAAAAGATATCAACAAGATATGTAGATAGATCATATTGAGTAGAAAAGCAGTACATACTTACCATAATTTTCTGCTTGATTTCATTTGTTAATTTTATACTGGTTTCTTGTCCACAATGTAACTTCAATAGTATAAAATAGAGTAAAAAAGAATCCCTAAAGAAAGCCCAACACGACAATATTGAATTTTGAAACATCCACAGGTGTTCATACGGTGGTTATCATGACACCTTCAATGTGACACAGTAGTGTCATTACATGAAAAGCGGCGTATGGTCCCAACGTTAAAGAACGCGTGTTCTCTAAACGAGAAAACAATGAGCGGAACTAAATTAAATGGGATTTTGAAATGGGATCTGAGGTTATAACGCCTGCGTATCACAAACAAGACGTCAAAAGACATTTGAAAAGCAGGCAATATATCCTAAGGGCAGGGGTGCGGAATTACTATGCCCGACTTGCCCGACTCGGGACTTTTTGCCGGCGGACAAGTAGATTTTCACGTAGCGGTTGTCCGCGGGCAAGTGAATTTCTGAGCCAGAAAATTAAAGCAAAATGCCAAAATTCTTACATAAAATTGATAACGAACGTTAATTTTTATCCCAATAATGTTTAATCCGTATTTAATATGCGTAAAATTAAATTATAAACTACCTCCCGCAGCATGAATAAATCGATGTAAATAAATGCTATTTTCCCCCGTATGAGGCCTCTCGCTATTCTTGGAATAGGTCGTATCGAGGCAACCAACCGGTGCTTTAGTAAATAATGCCCATTGTGAAGGTCGCGTTGTAAAGTTATTTTGGTACGAAATGGACAAATTTGTCGTTCGTTCTGGTGGTGCAAAGCTGCCTGAAACACCCAAAGAACCAGAAAAGCGTAAATCTAAAGCCCAAAGAGACAAGGAATATGACCGTAAACGCATGCGTGTGTTTAAAGATAGCTGGTTTAACGATTTTTCTTGGCTAAGAAAGGAAGATCATTCGAACAAACTTTTTTGTCATATTTGTAGAATGTTCCCGCAAACGGCGGATACGACCTCGGCTCTGTACGTAGGGAAGACTGCCGCCACATTAATAAGAAAGGACACTCTTTCATCTCATCAAATATCATCTAAACATATTTCATGTGTGTCCAAGTCCGAGTTCAAGCAAAAACCAAGTAAACAAGGACCCATACAAAAGTCTATATCTAAAGTTGAAATGCATGAAATAGAGAGATACAAAAAGCTGTTTAATACTGCTTATGCTGTTATAAAGCACAATCGCCCTTACAGTGACTATCCTTTTCTCTGTGAAGTGCAAAAGAAAAATGGGGCTGAATTAGGAAATGACCACTTATCTAGAGATACCTGTGTAGTATTCCAGAATTCCATTTCAAATGTACTATTAAATGAAACAAAAGCAAACTTAAAAAATGTTAGGTACTTTTCTATCATGAGTGACTCAAGCACTGACTCTTCTGTAATAGATCAGGAAGGCATTTTGTTACGCTATGTACACCCTGAAACATATGAGCCGGTTACATCCATTGCCAGTATTGAGAATCTAGAAAATGCAAGGGCTGACGGTGTTGTTGATGCTATTAAAAGGGGTTTATTGAAGTGCAACATTGATATTGATAATCTGTCTAATGAAAATTCAAAATTGGTGTGTGTAAATCTTGATGGAGCTGCAGTTAATTTAGGTGCAAAGAATGGTGTTGCGAAAAAGCTGAGTGATGCAGTTGATAACAATGTTATTGTAACACACTGTGTGGCACATAAACTTGAACTAGGTGTCTTAGATGCAGTTAAGCAAGTGGGGTATTTGAAAAAAATTTGAGGAAACTCTTAAGAGAATCTGTAAATTTTATTCTTTTTCTCCCAAGAGGAGAGAAGAATTGAAAAAGCTTTCTTCTTTTCTTGATGAAAGCTTAAAGATGCACACTGAAATTAAGGCAATTAGGTGGGTTTCTTCCAAGCTGCGTGCATTAGAAGCAGTCTGTCAGGATATTAATGTCACAGTCACACACATGGAGCAAATTCTTGAAACATCTAATAGGGCAGATGAGCTAGGACAAGCTAAAGCAATTTTAACTGATCTTAAAAGTGTAAAATTTGTTAAATACATTTATGTCATGCTAGATGTGCTAACAGCCATAACCAAAACTTCAGTCTTGTTTCAAAATAAAGATTTGTTGATGTTTGAGGTGAAGGAAGCTGTAGATACATTGTACATGTGTTTGCATGCAATGACCAATGAACCAGGTGAACACTTGTCCAAATTCTACAGCTTGTATGATCCTGAAACATCCCTGTTTGATGGTAAATTTAAACTGAATGGGTCTCTTAGTGACTTCAAAGATGACAATGACATTCACTGTTTATTTGATAAAATCAGTCAATATGTTCTAGAAAGATTTAAGGATCT